TGCACGATGTATTCCATGTCTCGATGCTTCGGAAGTATGTGCATAATCCTGATCATGTCGTGGACTTCGGCGAGCTGCAGGTCGAGCGAGACCTTACCTACGAGGAGGTGCCGGTGGCTATTCTGGATCGGAAGGTCCATCAGCTGAGGAACCGGGCAGTAAGCTTAGTGAAGGTGCTGTGGAGCCGACACGATGAGACCGAGGCGACTTGGGAGAGGGAGGACGGTATTAGGAGGCGTTACCCGAACTTCGAGTTCTGAGTTCTCCTTTGTATCTTTTATCGCTTTCTAGTTTTGTGTTCGAATTTCGAGGTCGGAATTCTTTGTAAGGTGGGTAGACTGTGACGCCCCGTTCGTTTATGGATAATTTGGATTATTGTTATTATTATTATTATTATTTTATCATTATTTGTGGCTATTATTATTGAATGATAATTGTCTAAATGCTTAAATAATTTTTATGTGCCTAATTGTGTTTATTATATATATATTATTTTCGGTATTTTTATTTTAAGTATTAAATATTATTTTAAATATTTTAATTATTATTGTAATTTTATTCTCGTCATCCGAGCATGTTCGAGCCGAAGCCGCACGCCCGTGAGCCGCGCATCAGTGAGCCGCGCGCACCCCGCCCTCCTTCCTTTTTGTGTGATGGCGTTAATTAGGGCAAGTGACTTGTATGGTAAGTCACAAGCCCTAGCCCTATATAAGGGAGATGAGCATCCCTCCCCTCACCCTTATTTTTCAGCCGCCACTCCCATCTCTCTCCCTCCCTCCCGATCTCTCTCGGCCTCTCCCTCTCTCTCGTTATTTTTTTTATCGCCGCGCCCAGCCCTTCGCCACCACCCGGCTGCAGTGCCTCGTCAGGCCATCGTCGCGCGTCCAGGCTGTAGGAGCACCTCCCCAGGCCTCAGTTCGCATCTCCCCGACGCCACCCGAGACCCAGCAGTCACGCACGAGACGTCCGGCGCCCCGCGAGACCACCAGCGCACCCGCAGGCCGTTTCCCCGTGCGTCCGTGTTCTCCCTCGGCCCGTCTACCTCTCTCTCGTGCGATTTATCCCGAGAACGGTACAAGGCTATTATTTCTGATTATTTTAGTATATATATGCTTTGAGATGATGCCTTGTTGGAAGATCTCATGTTATGGCTTGCTATATGATCGATTTTGTTCGTATTTTAGATGTTTATGTCATTTGAGGGTGATCCCTTGTTAAATCGTGATAATTGCTGTGGATCTATGGAACACTTGAAGTCTTTGGCCTGATGATGAAGGCCTTAGACGAAA